GGGTCTCACTATGTAGTAGACCTGGAACTCATTATGTAGCCCAGGCTGGTCTCGAACTCACAGTGATCCTCCTACCTCAGTGCTGGGATTACAGGCGTGCGCCACCACGCCCGGCTCTTATGTTGCTCTTTAAATTATTTATGCTTTGGGTTTCTCATACAAGAGAAAATAAATAGATGATAGATAGATAAATAGATAGAAAGATAGACAGATAGATTTCTTCCAAATGTGCATATAGGTTGCTTCCAAAATGTAGCCATCGTGCGTCATGCACAGGTATGCATGTATCACCGTAATATGATGTTGTTGAACAAGCTCAAACTCTTGGCGTCCATTTCCGCTTGAGCATAAGTAATTCTTTCCAAGTGCTGTTACATACCCACCACCATGCTTTTGTGACAATTTGGGAAAAAAAAAAAGTTCTTTCTCTTCTCTGATTTTATTAAAATAAGATGGTTACCCAAAGAAAATTACAGTATCATTACAAGCATTTATAACATCTACTGGTATTGTGTTTTGGGCAGAGCACATCTGCCCAGTTCTGTGTAGACACCAGACCTCTTTGGTGGTGGTGGTGGGATTTCTAGACATTGGGAAACTGTGTCCTATTTTTAACTTTCATTTCCTGTCAAATAAGACTCAGGCCATTCCCTTGGTATACCCCTTGGTTTTCTCTTACTGTTTCACTTCCCTGAGCTTGGCTTCTTATATTCAAAGTTCTTTCCCCCTAAATATTTTCCCTTATAACAAATTTGAACACACATTTCCCAACTTATTTTATAACCCACAATCTGCATGCCAGTTTCCTTCCTAGCATCTTTATTCAAGATAGATCAGGAAAACCATCAAGTGCAGCCTTTCCCCTAATACAAACAGACCCTAGAGATTCCACCAAAAAAATTTTAGAGCTGAGAAACTTAACAGAGTAACACAATATAAATCAACATCATAGCTTTTCTGAATATCAATAATAGAGTAGCTGAGAAATAAATGAGAAAAATAAACAATTTCAATCATGATAGCTTAAAAAAAACCTAGGGAACAATCTAACCAAAGAAATACTAATATGACAGACTTCAGAACACTGAAAAAAAATTGAAGAAGACACTAGAAAAGGGAAAAATCTCCCATGCGCATTGTTTGGCAGAATCAATATTGTTAAAGTGGCCATATTACCAAAAGTAATCTATAGTAATCTATGAAAATACCAATGACATTTCTCACAGAAGTAGGGAAAAAATCCTAAAATTCTTTATTGATGTAATTTTATTTTTTGGCATGCCATGATAGAGATTGAACCTAGGGCCTTGAAAGTGGTTGGCAAGTGCTCTACACTGAGCTATAGTCAAAGCCCAAATAACCCTAAAATTCAAATGAACAGAAAAGGTCCAGAATAGCCAAAGCAATCCTAAGCAACATGATTAGAACTGGAGGCATCACAATACTCCATTTCAAATTATACTACAAAACTATACTAACAAAAACAATATAGTATTACCACAAAAATAGACATGTAGATCAAAATAACAGAATAGAGGACACAGAAACAAACTTATGAAATACAGCCATCTGATTCTGGACAAAGGAGCCAAAAAGTATATTTTGGAAGAAAGACAGCCTCTTCAGCAGACACCTGGGAAAACTGTCCATTTGTTTGTAGAAGACAAACTAGATCTCTATCTCTTACACTGTACTAAAATCTATTAAAAATGGATCAAAGACCATTGTACAAGACCTGAAACATTGAAACTACTAAAAGAAAACAGGTGAAACAATTTAAGCCATAGGAACAGGCAAAAACTTCCCAAATAGAACTTCCACAGCATGAGTTGAAGTGAATGAACATAAATATAATTCAAAGAAAACTGAAAATAAAGTCATAAAATAATGTTTAAAGAATCCCAAATGACAAAAGAGAACTTGGAGACAAGAAGTTAAGTAGACAGCTTCAAAAAGGGTTAGGGTTACCTTAAATAAATAATCCAATGGTGCACCTCAAGGTTCTAGAAAAACAAGAACAATCCAAATCCAAAACTCATACAAGAAGGAAATCATAAAGATCGGAATTGAAATTAATAAAAGTGAGACCTATATATTAGCTTGGTTTATAAGTTCAGAGGCAGGAGAGTCCACAGTGTCCACATGAATGATGGAGAACCAGAGGACCCAGTAGCTTCTCAGTCCCAGAAGCTGGAAGCCGTATCACGAAGGAGGTGGAGGAAGCAGCGCAAGCCCAAGACTGGGAGCCTGGAAGCTCCCTGGAATTTGCTGATGTGAATTTGCATCGAGAGGCCGACGAAGCTGGAGTCTGATATTCACAAGGGATGGCAGCAACAAAAAATATTCCCTTGAGCACATCAGGCTTTCACGTTGTAGTCCAGATTGGCCTCCAACTCAAGACCCTCCTGCTTTAGTCTCCTGAGTTCTGAGGTTCCATTGTTGTATCACACCACCCCCAGGACTGTTTATCTTCAAAGAATTCTTTCATGTCCCCCTGAGACTTGAGAGAATGCGCTGCTGTGTAGATGATGTTCTCTTAGCTAGACAGCCTTGGTGTGTCTGGCATTCTGGATGATGAATGGGGATTCTCCACCTATAGACAGGGGTGAGGAAACAACACTAAAGGTGAGCAGGGCTCTGGATCTTCCTTAGAAGATCCTGGATCCCAGACATATTCAAGGTTTTCCAAGCAGAAGCTCCACCAGGCTTGCTCTTTATTCCCAGCTTAGAGAAACAAAAAACTTTTAAAGGTTTAACCTATCTTTATCTTGTCAAATGCCTAATGAACTAAATTTTCTTTGTAATAACTTATTAGAAATAACTGTTTGTATTACTAGAAAACTGCTTTTAAAATCCCCATCTTTTCTGTTCTGTTTTGAAGAGGAAGAGAAAGGAGAGAGAAGAGTACTATTGCTTCTATGGAGGAAAATCTGTAAAAGAAGAAGCCTTAAGTCTTACTAGATTAATAGTTTGACTACAGGGAGTGTGCAAATCAGATTTAATGTAGCCAGAATGAGGAACAGAAGTGGAAATCTCTTTCTCTTACTATAGCTCGGGAGTCAGATGTAGTCTCTCTCCCAGACATCTCTTTCCTGCTAGGGACAGCCTGAGCCAGGTGCTTTCTCTCTTCAGCAGCCATCTGATTTTCTCTATTTCTACCCAGAACCTCTCTCCTACTCTATTATTCCTACAATTGTCATCTATTCCCTGTATTGCAAAAGAAATGGAATCCCTTACAGTGCCACAGAATATGAGATTTCTGAGGTTCAAGAAATTTTAACCTTAACATCAAGCAGTGAAAAGGACAGGGCAATTAAGATGAGACTCGGCTCTAAAACTTCTTACCTTCTTTGGTATCTGCACAGTGGAATAAAGAGTATTTGCTGGATCTTCCACTGGGTCGTTTTTCTATTAGAAAACAAACAATAAGAAAAATAAACCATCACCTGTCCTCTGAGTCACACAAACAAGAACAGAGAGACATTTAGAATTCAGAGAGAAGAAAACAAAGATGGAAGAAGCTGTAGAGAGGAAAAGATGGTTCTAGAACAGAGATGGTAATGGGAAGTGCTCTCATTAGTGACTGCTATTATAATAATTATTAATAAATTGTTTAAAGAAGCCATGGCATTATTCTTATTCATGTTTGTTTTTGTGCTTATTGTATTATTTTTACTGTGTTGTGTTTTTTTTGTGGGGGGGTACCGGGGATTGAACTCAGGTCCTTGCGCTTGCAAGGCAGGCCACCAAATCGCTGTGCTACATCCCCAGCGCTACTGTGTTATGTGTAAATGAATTTTTAAAAATATAAGATGTAAATCCCATGAGCTACGAGCCTCCTAAGGGAGCTAAAGAATAATTTGAAATAATAGTGACAATGTTGCAAATAAACTTTTCCAATAATCAAGAGTCCCTTGGAACAAACCAGTAAGGATGCCTGAAGTTGACAAACCAAACAAAGCAATAAGGTGATAACAAAAGCTCCCTCCCCACTAGAGAAAAGTATCCTGGGATGGTAAAGTTTACTCCTGAACATCCAGGGTGGCCCTGCAGCCTTTTCAGTGTGCACAGAGGAACAGAAAGGATGGTGATAACTGATAAATTTTGACTTAAGCCAGTTGAGTGGTGCACGGAGCGGTCCCCCTAAGTGGAAGGAAGGAGCTCTTAGAATATTAATGACTTCAAAGAGGACAGGAGGAGTTTCCTCTTCAAAGAGGGTAAGGGTAGGTAGATGTTGTAGCTATAGAAGATACTTATGATCAAGAGACACCAAAAGCTAAAGCCAAATTGGGGTTTCAAGGCTCTAATTTCTTCCTTAAAAGGGTCTCTGTGGAAAAGGGCTCTAAGTCCTCTAAAGAGCTCCCTAGCCTGGGATACACTGACCAATCCTGGGGTGCTTTTTGAAGTTGTCTATTTACTTCATGTCTCCAAGTTGTCTTTTGTTATTTGGGTTTCTTTAAATATTATTTTATGACTTCCTTTTCACTTTGAATTGTGTTTGTGCTCATTCACTTCAACTCAGAAAAATGGGATCTTGGGAAGCATTGAGTGTCACTCCAGAACAACGTAGGCCTCCTGGCCCTTCTCTTGACAGCTCTGAGGCATCTCTAGAACAGTCTTCTGACATCATGACTCAAACAGTGTGTCAAAGTCACAATTCTCCACCCACTCCTTTATGCAAAAGGAATTGGACCTTTTGAGTGGCCACTGTGAACTGTGAAAGGGAAAGGGTGAGTCATGTAACGTTCACAGCATGAGTGTCACTAGCTGGGTCAGAACCAGGTGTTTCAGAGGCCACCAACTTCTGCACAGAAGTGAGTCCACCAAGACCTGGGGAAAACATAGGTGCTTTGGATTTTCATGGCTCTGTAGCCTAATCTCCCTCCCCATTTCTGTGTTACCCAGACCATGGAAAAATCTCAAGTAAAGCAAAGAGAGCCTCAGAGAGCTGGATCAAGTCCTAAGAAAGATAAGAAAGGACTCACATGAATGTAGGGGATTGTGTCATACTCTGTGTTCTCTGCAAAATAAGGATAGGAGTGAGGAATTTCCTGGTGGATGTCCATTCCACTCTTGCTTTCAACAGGTTCTGAAACCAAGGAGAGAGAGAGAGAGACTCAAAGCCTGCCTATTCCACCACTCACCACTCTTGCTAGCCTATCATCTCATGTGGACGGCCCACTGAGGGTCACAGCTACCCCATGTGCCCTGCAACTGAAGGGTTTTCCGGGGTAGGGGACTCTCGGTGTCAAACCTGGGAAAATCCCAAGTAAATCAGGAAAATCAGGCCCCCTTCACTCCCAGCCTTGGAACCCAGGTGACTAGAGTGGGAAACAAGGAAGGTCATAAATGCTTTCAGGGTGTTTTCAGTGTCCAGGCCTCTCTCTCACATCCCAGGTGGACAGTATCAGTGAGGGGCTTAGAGAGGAAATCAGCAGGGCCTAGAGACAGAGCATCGTGTACAGCATGGAGGCAAAGAATAGCTTTTCCAGGGGGAATGTGTTTGTGCTGAGGTGAAGAGAAAAGAGAGATCTCAAGAGTTGACCCAGTGGAGAAGACTGGGGCTTGTCTGTGGGCTCTTGACAGGGATGAGAATAGGAAGGGCTGATTGAAGGATATTGGTCCTTGGAAGCATCAATGAGGAAGGCCATCATTTCTCAGGTCGGGGGGACAGAGCCAGCAGAAGCCTGTGTAAATAAATAGAGGGACCACATCAGCAACTCGCTCGGACAGGAGGAGAGAAGTGGGCCCTGGAGGGAGATTTCATCCTCAGGAGAGAAGGCAAGGATTCCAGCTGTCTATTCCACAACTATGGAGTGTAGGATATCTGTGTGCTTCTTGGGGCAGATTATGACCTCTTCACCTGTATTCTCAGTGCCAAGCCTCACACACGTGCTTGTGGAATAAATGAGGGAGAATATGCACAAATGATGGTGAGAACAAAAAAATCACACGAGCTCTACCTTTTCTTCTCTTTGTCCTCTTAATCAAAAGAAATGCCACTGGTACCAGGAGGCATAGCAGAATGGATGCCAACAGGATATATAAGAGGATCGGAGGGAAACCTGAGTCACCAGTAGCACCTTGAAAGAAAGAATGGACAGAAGTGTGAGGAAGGAAGAAAAGTCAATTGAGGAAAGTGACCCAACTTTTGGAGCACCTGCCAATTTCCTCCCAGCAGGGTAACTTTCCAAGCCTCAGGGCCTGATCCCCTTGTGACTCAGGAGCTGAAGAAGGTATAATTACTTGGACCACAGCTCCTGGATAGAGGGGACAGTCACCTCTACAGAGCTTCTGGGCAAGGATGGGGCTTGAGGAATTGTTGCTGATAGGGTTCCTGGCTGTGCAGATGAAGGTCACATCATTTTCCCCCAAAGTCCAAGAAATGGGGAGGATGGAGCCATCGTGAGACTCATTGGCTGCCTGCTCCAGGATCTTCCAGCTGTAAGTCACATCCTCTCCTCCCTCTTCCATGGAACATGTCAGATTGGTTATGCAAGTGCCATTTTTATTGCTGTACAGTCCCATTGTGACTTTGGGCTTTGACAAGTGTTCTGTAAAAAAGAAAGTACAGGCAGGCATGGAAAATATGCCTATAGTTCTCCATTCTTTGAATTATCCTGGGATAACTTGGACCTGAATTTCCTTGGGAAGCCAGAATGAAAAGGAAAGAGTAATTCAGAGCAGAATTTTCATTCGTATTTAGTTGTCCTTGCCCATATAACAAAATAGCAGTAATAACAATGGTGATAACACTGATCAGATCTGTAGGGGGAGGGTTGTGATGGATGCTTATGCTTAATTAGCTTCCTAAGGTAGTTATCATTTTCCTCCCCATTACAGGAAGTGAAGACTCAGAGGAATTAAGGCACCGGGCTAAGGTCTGCACCTGGTAAATACAGAAGCCAAAATTTGACTTATATCTGTGTACTGCCACTTTCCGTGTTGCCCATTTACTACACTATAGTCTATTACAGGATTTGAACAGGCAGAGTCCTCACGGCTCAGCTACATCTACTTCATTCATGCAAGAGTCCCCTCTGCCACATTACTGTCAAGTATTTACCCAGGCTGTGCTTGAACATCTGGTGTCAGGGAGCTCATCACCTCACCATGGCAGCCATAGGCCATGTGAACTGATTCTGCTCCCACAGCACCATGAGAACCGATTGTACTCACCATAGACATGCAGCCTGTACTTCATGGGGAGGAGAGACTGGGAGTCTGAGCTGTGTATCATCACAGAGTAGATGCCTGAGTCAGTCTTCTTCAGTTGGCTGAATGTCAAAGAGTAGCCTCCATCTTGGAAATGCACCCTGGGCTTGTTACGTTTCTGTGCTACTATAAAAGTGATTTGCTCTTCTCCAATGGCAGGCTGTACAGTGACGAGAGTGGTGGTTTCATTGAAGAGCCAGGAGATACTGTCAACTTGCTTTACTGTGAAATTCAGAGAGAAGATCACAGATCCACCGACGGCCCCAACTAGCTCCTTCAAGGCTTCAGAGGTTGCTGACACTGCAGACAGAGAAAACTGTAAATTAGCCTGAGTCCCTGGCCCTGCCACCAATTACTCATCATTTCCTTTAGGTCTTGGGAAGATCCTGAGAAACTCTCTCATTCCAATGTAAGCATTCTCTGAGAAGCCCTTCTGAACCTTTCACATGAAAACACTGAGATCAGAACCCTCTTGCCTCTAAGGGGTGACTGCAGATGATCCCACCCAATTCACAGAAAATTCTGGCTGAAAAAAAAGTGCTCTGAGATGGTCCATAAAACCCAGCTCCATCCTAGACAGGGACCTGTAAGGGGGAAAGAGAGACCTTACTGTCTCCGTCTCCCATAGGACTATCAGATCACTCTACAGAGAGCTGAACATGCCACTAATGAAAGCTGCTTGACCTGGGGACAGAATTTTGAAGGACTGGATCAGGGCAGTGGAGAGTGAGCTCATAATAATATTAGCTTAGAAGTTTTAGAATAATTTGTCTTTCTACTTTATGATAGGCTGGAGCAGATTCAAAGTCATTCTCAAACCAACTTCTCAATCACTTGCATTCTAATGTGCCCCAGTGGGAAAGAAAGGGGCAAATAACAGGGAGTCCTGCGTGGTGTCCAAGCTAACTCGTGGTAGGAAATGTAGTAAGGTTTGACTTCCATGAAAAGTTTTTGTTTTACCACAATTTTGGCTCATCTCATAGAGTGTGACTTTCAAGCAATCATCAAGGTTTATGTGGCTCCAAGTTGAAAAGAATGATAATGGACTGCTGGAGAAACTTCCAGAAATAGCCAGCTGAGCATTCTAAGGAGCAGTGTTATGGTTTAGATCTAAAATGTTGACTAAAGCTTCATGTTCAGAAGTAGGGCCTGGTTGGAAGGGGTGGGTCTTTGAGTGGCAGGTCCTGGAAAGATGTGTCTTCATCCCAAGGTCCTCCCTTCTGTATCTGCTTCCTGGATACCGTGATGTGAGCAGCTGTCTTCTGTCAGACTCTACCACTATGCCTTCTCTGCGTTGAGGCTGTCCTACCATGGATTGGACCCACTGAAACTGTAAACCAAAACAGTTTCTCCTCCTGTAAATTTCAAGTGTCAAGTACTTTGTCCCAGCAACAGGAAAGAGACTAATATAGATATAGGGAATGAGTCCTCTTCATCACAAACTTGGGCAAACTTTGAGGACAGCACAGATCAGTGCTAGACTTTAGATTGATACCAACAGTTTAAAAGCACTTGCTATGATCGAATTTAACTCTTAAAATGATCCTTGGAGGGATAGGTTTTTAGACCCCCATCTTACAGATCAAGAACCTAAGACAGTGGATGTCAATGAAGTAAACTAGTCAGTAAGTGGCAAAGCCCACAGAACTTACCTCAAAGTTGAGGCTTTTATGTACATTTTATATAGATGAAAAAAATGCAAGAGCAGAGACAGAGCTCACTCAAGTTTCATGGAAATAGCAAAATACAATTAAACCTTTAGAGTAAAAAGACAAACTCCAAAGTTATTTTCCTTTCCTCTCCCTCTCCCCCTCCCTCCTCCCTCCTCCCTCCTCCTCCTCCTCCTCCTCCTCCTCTTCTTCTTCTTCTTCTCATAATGCATCAGTTGAATTTATTTTGGGGGATGGTACTGACCATTAAAACCAAGGTTTTCACCCTGAACTACATCTCCAATTCTTTCTTATTTTTATTTATTTAATTATTCATTTACAGTAAATTCCCAACTTATGAACATTTGAGTTGTGAGCGTTCACAGATAGGAATGAACTCAAAATTACAAACATTTGTAGATGCAAACAAATCACAGAGGTAGCTTCCCATCTGCCAGACATTGTCACAGTTGTGCTGTGTGCTTAAAATTAAAAGTAGCTTATTTACAGTATTGTGTGTGTGTGTGTGTGTGTGTGTGTGTATACTTTACATTGTATGTGTCAAAGGTGTACAAGACTCACTGTGTTGGACTAGAACATATCCAATTTAAGAATGTTGATGTGGAACAGAACTCGTTTATGGGTCAAGGGCTTACTGTACAGGAAAAAGCTTCAATCAGAAAGTGAGAGAAAATGTTAAGAGACTTTAGATGGTGCTGCTGACAAAGATCAGGTTAGCCCTTATCAAATGAGAGTAAGAGAAATAGGAAAGGACTCTAACTTTGGCAGCTGGAGGGGGTACACTCTGATGAAAGGGGCTCAGACTGGCTGCCTTTTGATTATCTATTTTGAGTCAGGGTCCACTTCTATACCATGGTGAGAGACTTGTTCTTCCTGTGTGTGGGGACAGTGAGGAACACCTTGCTACTCCCAGACATCCAGATTTCGCTGGCCTAACCCTGCACCTGGCCTAGAAGGACAGCAAACACATGTTTGTCAGTTTAGTCAGCTTCAAAACACAGACAATTACTGTGTTCCTTGAAGAAAACTGGAGCAAGGAAGAAAGTATAGGGAAAGTTTGGGGACAGGCAGGGAAAGGAAGGTAGGGCCTTAGTGAGGTTTCTGACAAGTCCTGACCAGGAAGAGTTAAACCTCTGATAAAGAAAACAATTCAGAGAAACAGAGAGAACTGAAAAGCAGCTGGGCTGGCCTTGGAGCCAGAGCCCCAGTTTGCTCCTCTCCTCCTCCAGTTACGTATAAAAAAGACAAAGTGGGGAGCAGGGTTATATTACTTAAAAAACTCACTTAGTAGATAAAACATATACTCATACCTGGACACTCACATACCTGTTTATGAATATGTATCTTCTTACCATATTTGTACACTAACATGTACATGCATTCTTTTTTGCTAACTTGTCATTAAATGTGTGGCTCTGCTATAATTCTAACAGATATCACCCTGACAATACAAAGAGATCAAAGAAAGTTTGCCCAAGAATGTACAACTAGGCAGTGACCAGGGGCAGCAGCTTAATCAGGGGTCTCAGAGCCTAAAATAGCCAATCAAGTTATAACAACTCTCAATGGGGAGAGCCCCTTTCTTGCAATGTAATAAAAGAGGCTAAGAACCAAGATCTTTGAGTACCAGCTCCGGGCTCCCTACCTACCTCCCTACTCCAATAGGTAGCCATCTATCTCCTTATTTCTCTCCCTTTCCCAATAAAGTGATTTTATTTCTCCTTCTAAACTTATATCTGTAATTCTTTTTATCACTATAAGGTTTAACAACTCTAGATGAAAACTACCTTCGTGAGACATGACAAAATGTTCCAGAAAAGTTCTGCTTGTGACAGACATGAGAATGTATAACATGTGCAATATGCTTTTAAATAAATAGATTGAATTTTTAAAATATGCATGTGATCTAAGCTGGATTCATTAAATTTACTACTGTTATACTCATTTTCTTCTTATCTTAAAAGAAATTAGAATGAAAACTATTGTGGTCTCCATATACTGCTTCCTGTGCCCAGCTGGCCTGCGAGCTTGACCAAGCTCCCAGGCTCCATTCATTTAACAAATTCTTATTTTATCATAATATTTTCTAGTACTCCAGCACTGATGCAACTCATCCGAAAAAAAGACAAATTTCTATTGTGTCCTCTCAGTACTGAACTCTTCAGATAACCAAAATTGCTTCCTTAGAGATTTATTTCCTTGGTCCCTACTAAAACTCAAATATCTTGGCAAGAGTTTCCAAATAATAAGGGTTGCCAGTTATGAAAGGTATACTCTGTGCTAAAAATTTACTATAAGTATATGCCTAAAGCTCCTGCACAAATTAGATATTTTGATCTTTTTATACTGGGATCAGCAACGTACAGCAAATCTGGCTTGTCACCTGTCTTTGTAAATAAAGTTTTATTAGAACATAGCTATATTCCTGCATTTACATATTGTGTGGCAGCTTTTGCACTAGATAGACTGAGCTGAGCAATTGCAGCTGAGATCGTATTTCCCGAGAAGCCTAAAATATTCATTATTTGGATATGTACAGAATTGCGAGACTTTGCTTATAACTCAGTGGTAGAGCACTTGCTTAGCATTCACAAGGTCCTAGACTTGATCTCCAGCACTGTAAAGATTTTTTTTTAAAGCAAAAGGAAACAAAGCTTGCTAACTCCTAACTTCATGAGAAAACAGATTAAGAACAAACAGTAACCAAGAAATTTACACAAGAGCACATAGCTAATGGGTAATGATTTAAGGGTTTAACCCAATGTCACTCCAGTTCTGGGATCTAGACCTTTTCTCTGGTTCAATTTGAGGTATCTTAGCATTGCATCAACTCTAGCTCTTTCCCTCCCTCCTCTTCTCCATAACCTTAGAAGGCCCAGGGGCCAAATCCAAAGTCCTTGGGCATGGTGGAACCCTGGTATTCCCTTCATGTCTCGCAGTGGCATTCCCTCAAGCATAGGCTACGCTACCAGAGTCCCAGAGTAAGAAAATTTCACCCTGCCAAATTCCATCAAATGTTGACTACTCCCTCGATTGCAAATCTGAGGTCTCTACCAACATTTTGCCAAGTTTATCTCTAAAAGTACTGCTTTCTGTTCCTGTATTTTAGGAGGTAATTCCTATTCTCAAATATTTTCCCTCTATAATTTATCAGTAAGTGCATATATATCAGAGTCCCAGAGTAAGAAAATTTCACCCTGCCAAATTCCATCAAATGTTGACTACTCCCTCGATTGCAAATCTGAGGTCTCTACCAACATTTTGCCAAGTTTATCTCTAAAAGTACTGCTTTCTGTTCCTGTATTTTAGGAGGTAATTCCTATTCTCAAATATTTTCCCTCTATAATTTATCAGTAAGTGCATATATATAT